GCAAATTCTCAAAGATGTTCATTTAAACTTTGTAATTGATAAGCAATTCACTAAAACATTAAATTAGCTTAAATCCAATGAATTAATAACAAAACATGTTCCCCGAGAATGTTGTCAACGAAAAACACGAATTCTGAACATCTGTTCATAGAATCCAAATTCATGTTCACAGGAATTGGTTTTACGAATCGATTCTTAATTCATGACAATATTTGCAATGCTTTTCACTTTACACTAAAAATTTCAAATTGAAACCTCGAAAACAAAAAGTTCCCAAAAGCAGAGATTTGTTAAAAGAGAAACAAACCTCCATTTGTTCGGTGGTGTTGAAGGCGGCGATCAATCCGATCCGATAGTTGCCGAAAGACACGATTTGGTTCTCGTCCGAAGACTCGGAGATGACGGCGATAGAGGGCGCGGCCGTCGACGACGCGTTGTTGCCGACGAGCGACGGATGGCTTGAGGGCAGAATGAAGTGGTAGACCGCGCACGGAATCGAGGCGTCGCGCGAGACGGCCGACGACCGCGAGTGCAGGCTCTCGACGGAGTGGCGCTCCGGGGAGCCGAGCACCGAGTGCTGCAGAGACACCATCTCGTAGGAGATGTAGGCGCGCCGGACGTACACCTCGAGCGCGGCTCTGCGGACGACGACATTGGAGTGGTAGAAGAATTGGTGCAAAACGTCGAAAATGGAAGTCTCGCTGAGAATGAGTTTGTTGAGAACGTTGGGCTCGAATTCGTGCGAATAGATGTCGATGGCGGACAAGAAGATGGACTCCATCTGGTTGTGTCGGAGCGCGAAGGGCGGCTGATGCGCCGATATGAGCACTTGGCGCGCGCGCAGCGCCACCTTCGCGTTCTCCGCTTTGTTCAGGATTGTCAGCGCGTTCAGAATGGACGACAACTCGTCGGTGATGCCCGGCTCGTGTCCGCACAAGTGGTCGATCAGCTGCGGAGAGGGAGGAAGGGTCAGGGTTGGGATCAGAAGCAAAAAAACTGACCTTGATGATGAGTTGATTCTTTTTGGTGACCGACAGATGCGAGAAGATCTGCGACACGACGGACGCCATGCCCTCCTCTTTGAACTTCTCGCGCAACTGAGAAACGCATTTGTCGTAATGACCGCTTTGGAAGTGTTGCTCCACTTCGATGTAATTGCGGACCAATTCCTGAACGCAAGAACGCATTCTCCCGCGAATACCGTTGCGATATCTTTGGACCAATTGAACGATTCCCTGAGTGTTGAGGAAGAAGACGTCTCTGTCGGCGCGCTTCTGAAGAGTGGCCGCATAGGAGTCGATGACGGAAGCGATTTGTTGCGACGGAAAAGCGGCCAAAATGGCGGTTATGTTGCCTAAGGAGAGAGAATGAGTGATTTTTGGTTATTTTCGGGAAATAAATACTCGAATAGTTGTTCATTAGTTTTCGAATGCATTTTTCCACTTGAGATGGAATTCTGCCGGAAGTCGACGAAATGATGTCTTGGAGCTCGAGAAG